TCTTGATACCAAATGACCAACTCGGACGATACCACATTGTAGATAGGGCCGTCCCGGGATCCTGGAGATCCCCCCGGCCGCTCCGTCTAGCGTGTTGACGAACCTTGACAAATAATTTTTTGTGGATGAGTTCCATGCACGAAACAGAATCCTCGCATGCTAGACGTCTCAATGCTAATCCTAATTGGCCAAGAACTGCCTTTAGGTAGAGTTAGCTCAGGAGATCTGAATTCATGAACATTTAATAGTCGGTTTCTCAGGACCGGCGTTCTCTGCCTGTCTAACTAATCTCATGAACACACAGAGGACAAGTCATCTTCACTATACGTAATATCGGCTGGCGTTCTTTAAAAAAAAAAAAAAAAGGACAAAAAAGTCTTCGGAAGTAGGTATGCAATGGGAAGCATCTGTTGCGTGGGCTGGATCGATCTGCTGGAGAAACAACTCAACGCGCATAGACGGGTGTGACTGAATATCTCTTGTTTTTCTTCCTTACTCTGGACATTCGATTTCTGATACGGCGACACTATTCATCCTGTATTGTCCATCGCTATTCAGTGACGAATCAGGAGTGCTATTCGACAGCTTCAAACCCACAGACGCCTGAATGAGACTGGCTAAATATCCTGTCACTCCTGCCCATAACTTATTGAGACCAGCCATCGAAACATTGACCCTATCTATCCCAAATCCCAAGGTTCGGGGGAACTACTTCCCCCGTTGATGAGCCATTCTTATTCTGGTAGATAGACAAATTAGAATCTATGGAGCCTTGCCCCCCGGGATGATGCATATTTACCCGTCTCTTCCCTCCTGTCAAGTAGGTTCTGAGCTCACCCCAATGCTTGTTACACCACAGGGCCCCTCATACTACTTCTCCTCATCCCATTGTTGTGTTGCTGTAATCTGCTTTATCGTTGACCTTTCATTTCTAGCATGCAGCGCTCCTAATACCCATAATCTCTCTGCTTCTTCCCACGCTGTTGACACGATTGATGATATGACCAATTTTGTTACTATTTCCTCATAAACTCGCGAGAGAACTTGATTACTCTTTCCCCCATTTTCTCATCTACGATTCTGCTGTCTCTTTGAATTCCTCGTACTAATCGGAACTCCCTAAGTCGACTGCGTCAAATCAACAGTGCATTCAACTCCATACCGGTACCCCTCGCATCTCGAACGTGCATCTGGATCTCTTGTTACTGCTGGTTGATTGCGTAAGAGCACCTGCAGGGCCCAATATGCATGCGGCCGAGCTGGCCTATCTTCTGGGAGGTATATCCATTGCGTTGAACTTGGTCGCTAGCGTCCTCCACGGTGTCTGTCTTGCCTCATCAGGAGCCTCGTCAATCGAATCGATCACAGTCACACTCAGCGCTGCTAGCTCTGTGGCGTTGGTTACTTTGATACTTCTATGGAGGAAGAATATTTGGCTTCGGTCTATAGACCGTTGGAATCAGTGGCGGACCATAGCGTACGGCCTCATTTTTGCATACTTTGTAATATCCAGCGGCGTCACAGCTGGCGCCGTCGTGTGGAGCACCTCAAGTCTCGAGGTAAGGGGGGAAGAAACGAGGACACGTCCCAGCCAGCTGGGACTATACATATCCAGGTCTGTAGTATGGACATTGGCTGTGTTAAGCCAGGGGCTGTTTGCTGGATTTCTTTTGATTGACAACTCCCACAACCAATGTCCGGGCTCGCTCTCGCAGGAGCTTGTGGTGCAACCAGACCAGTCGAGCCTGAAGCATAAAAGCGCGGCCAAGGAACCAGCATTGACGATTGAATCGAGACGACAATCTATTGATCGGAAAACGAGCTGCGATAGCAGTCTTTTCCCGAACCAGCCCGCTACCTCAATCGCGTCCTCTCACCGCTATTCTGGAAGGACTCTATTTCAACGAGATTCTAAGCACAATTCACTCGATCTTCATTCACCAGTGCCGGGTATGCCGTCCCTTGATTCCAACACTTCCCGCAACCGATTAGAAACGAGGGAGGATGAACCGGACAGCTGCAGCATAACAGTCGAGGAGCGACAAGGGACGCGCATAATCCAGGGGACCCCATCCGAGATCAAGAGGTCCCTGGACAGTTTGATGCTTCAGCCATCATCAGGCACGCCATCTCCGGCCGCATCGACGACTAAGCTAGAGGGTTCCCGAGCGCCTGTCCCTCCAAAGCTGCACTTACCTGACGAGAGCAATATCCACCCATTGTTTCGTTCCGATAGCCCATCGCCACCGCCGACGCCTTTGCCAGGAACAAATCTCCATGCGTCAGCCGTGGCCGGGCAGACGATCTCGGTCAAGGCGTTGAATCGGATGAGGTCGGCCAATTCTCTTCGAGCTCACGGACCACGAAGCAGGTCCCCACTGTTCGAGCGGATAAATCAGCAAAGCGAGACGACGGAGGAGCAAAAGCCAAATCCAAGCCGTGAGAGCCAAGGCAGATTAACTGAAGGGTCGGTGATACCTGGATTCCTCATGGCTGCAGATGTGCGCAAGAGCATCGCCCGGTATGAGAAGAGGTATGAATTGAATGAATCTCCAGACGAGAGCTAGTATGACGATTTTCACTGGGATTCTTTCTAATGACCTTTTTTATTTGACCTTTTTGTCTGAGTCTGTTTGCCATATATCTCGGGAACAGGGTATTTTGCTATACAGGTGCAATCAGAACTTGCGCTAAGTGTTTTCGACTCTTCAATTATGTACATAGAAGCTGTATAGAACATAAGAGTAGAGTCCAGTCCATCCAAGTCATTTCCCGGAATTCGGTTACCCTTATACCGATGCATCCAGTCTCCTACAATTGACTTCCAGCCCTCTTGTTATGTTTGGTTACCTGAGCCCAGCTGCAGTGACCGAACAAGAAGAGAACGTGAGAAGGTAAGTAAACAGGCAGGTAGCTCGGACCGGGAGGTCATATTGATTATGAAGTAAACTCCATTGAATGATGGATATCTCATTGTCTGAATACTGCATTGATATTTGATGCTCATGTGGTGGGTTGTTACTGTATAGATAGGTAGAGCTAAACCCGGATCTAGGAAAGAGTCTTGGGGATATTGATGGGAATTTCTTCTCCCTTGCGGAGATATACTCATATAAAATTGAAAAGCCTACTATTGTCATATCATAGGACTCTGAGTCGGTTTCAACTTAAATTGTAGAATATGTTCGTGCTCATTCCAATGTATGCATTTAGCTTCATTCACTAGTCCTGACTGCTCGCCCTTGCAGTGTCTATTCCTTCAGCTTGTCTTGCTTTGGTTCTTTTTCTTTTCTTTCTTTCTTTCTTTTTCTATTCCACTATTATGATTATTATTATCAGTCATCCTTTTATCCTTATCCTTTTCTCCATAGATTTCCTGACCGAGTGTTTGGGCAATTTTGTCATGGTATCGTTGCTGCCATACATACTTCCACTCTCCAACCGTTGCGCCGCGCCACTCCACTCTCGCTCTGACCCAGTCAAATTCCTCCATCCAAATAGCTACAACTAGGTAGTCTACTACTATCTACCAGGTCTCTCTAATCTTCCTACAACACTGGAAGACACTCATCCTCCTCATACCGTTTGATTCAATGACTCGAATTTTTTGGATCTTTCTTCTCTGAATTGCATTTGAATCCCTCGTTCTATTTCTTCCAGGCAGAAAATATTGCTATTGTGGTCTGTGCAAAAACTGATAACAAAAATCTGCCTTTTGATGCAAGTACATCGTGCTAAGTGCCTGACTGGAATTTGACGGGCCGCACATGGTGATCAACAACGTCTTGCCTCGCCTTTAGGCAGTACCTTACTGTCTTCTATCTACTATTCATTATTACTACTTCTCTAAGACATTGGAGATCCAAGACTGCCTCTGTGGATTTTCCACTTGAGTTGAGCTTTCTCACGCCAGCCCCATCTCACCCTTTATCTTACCTCTCTCTCGCACCCTTTTTCTTAACTTCTTTGTTCATTAATTGTCTACATTCTCATCTCCGTTCATCTCTTTCTATCATTTCATCCTCCCCTCGACAAAGGCGAGAGGTCGTTGTGTCCAGTCCGGACTTCGGGAGTACTCCATATGCTAGTTCCGGCGAGACTCCCCCAAGCACACACAGCAAGCTTAACCAACCACAACCTAACGCCATCTTTACTTTTTCCCACTTCCACTGTTGATCCACTTGGCCGCACCTCGCTTTTACTTTGTTCTTCCCCATCCTACTACTACTACTATCTATACTATCATCGATCTACTATTACTCCCTACATTTGCTACTGCTATTACCTCTTCCTCCTCCTCCTATTACTACCTTACTACATACTGGCATTGCTGCTATCTACCTTACCCACAGTGTACCCATCACCTTACCTGCTATTACACGATCACCGCCCCTACTGCTGAGTACACTTTGACCATCTATTATCTATTACCTTCTGCACTTACTACCACAACGCGATATTTGATCAGCAGTCGACTTCATCGCCGGCCCACCTCACTTCTACTGTTTTTTACGCCAGGTAAGTTCGCGAAGTTACTCTTGTAATCCTTACACTGTATCTTTTCTTGCTTTTTCTCACTAGGCCCCCTTTGTTATTCACCCTTCCTTGCATCCCTGCATCTCTTCAGTGCTTGTTTTTGCACGGTCTGCCCTCCGTGGTAGAATTTCAATGCACTTTTGCCATCCTTTCCTCTATCAGAATTCTGGTATAGATTGGATCTCCCGATAATTTCTGTCTCTTTCACATCGGTCTTCATATGTGCTCATTTTATTAATTGTTCTTCCGAAATGAGCTGCTCTGGAAAACCTCTTGCTTCATCGGCAGCTTAATGTCTCGATACCCTCTCTTTTTATCGAGCTCACTTCGGACCATGCTTTTGAGCTTTCCCCCCTTGTTTCCTAGATCCAGCAGCCCGCTTATACCCGCATTTTCTCTGTGTTTGCTCCGGTTCACATTCATTTGAATAGTGTCGGTTACTGATCAATATCTAGCAGACAGAGATGGCGGGTGCCAAGCGTAAAGTCGAAGCTTCTCAGGGAGCGACGCCTSGCACTGGCGCTTCATCCTCAGGGAACATGACCCCCTCAGCTGGTAAGGGCTTGGCTGTTCAACCCTGACGGTGCCGATTTCTGATTTTCTATAGATCCTCTCGTGGAGGACAACTCCAACATTCGTATCACCAGGAGTGCTCGGGCTAGCCGAGATGCTCGTGCTCATAATATGAATATTCCGAGCACCCCATCATCTACTAACAACGCCTCTCACAACAATCTCAATAATGGTCGCCCGTCACGCATTATTACGCTGAGCACCCGCACTGCTAGAGCTAATAGTGCCCGTCAGGCTCTGGCCAACAGTCTCCGCGAAGCTCAAGCAATGAATGCTCCCGCAGCCGATACTGCTACCAACACTGCCAACCTTGTCCGTGAGACTCGCACCTCTCGAGCACGCGCTGCTGCTGCGGCCGCAGCTGGTTCCGCTGTGCCCTCTGCTCCCGCGCCCCCCTTTGCTCCGGCTCCAGCTGCAGCCGACAGCGTAGCACCGGCGAATGTTCCAGAGACCCCCCGGCACAAGCGCGTCAAACGAACTCCTACCGTTGAAGAGACGCCGAGGACGACGAGGCAGTCTGCAAGACTTAGGGGCAGTCTCCAACCCCTTAGTTCCACCGACAAAACTTTCTCTAACTCTCAAGCTGAGGTCAAACAACCTGATGGCAGCCCATCCGCGGGCATGGCTCCTGGTGGCCGGACACGGACACGGAGCAGACAGATGGTCAGCAGCCTTAACCAGAAAACCGGCGACTCAACAAGAATCACTTCCTCTCCCCCGAAAAAGAATGCGGTAAGAAACGAAGAGAACATCAGCCCTCTGGATACCGTTGCTTCGCAGCTATCGACAAAAGATCAGATGTCTGAAGTAGTTACTGAGGATTTATCGAAGGACAACGGTCCTGATGACATCGAGAACAAAGTGAACGAACCCTCAGACATGGAAAGTGAGGAAAAGCACGAATCCATTACTGGCCCACCAAAGTCACTAAAACGGAAGTCTCCAGAGCCCGATAACGGACTCGCTGGGGAGCTCATGCGCTCTTCTAATTCCCCACGCAAAAAGCCGAAAGTGGAGAATCCAGAGCTGGACCGCGCGTTGGACCAGCAGTTACAGGAAGGCACCGAGAATAACGATGATGACAAAGCAGCATCGCAGTCCCAGTCCCCTGGCGACGTAGATGCTATTTCTGCCGAGGGCGAGGTCGAAGCCTCCGAGAATGATGCTCTCAAAGCCCGAGCTACTATATCTGTTGCTGCCGACGCCGATGTTCCCGATGCTCAGGAGGCTGAAATTCCTGGGTTCTCGGCCGTCAATGCTAGCGATGGGAGTATTGATGTTGCTGATGTTGCGGACAATGATACCACTGCTGCTAGAGAATCGGCGGCAGGTGACGAGTCTCGTCAAATCACGGAAGAAGTTGAAGAACCAGCTTCTGAAAATGGTGTCGAATTTACGGTGAACAGTGGACGAGGCCGGGGTCGTGGCCGTGGCCGTGGAGGCGGCAGCATGGGAGCGTCCACGCGCGGCGGGGGAGTGCAGAAAGGGAAAGGAAAATCCAAAGGACCAGGCAAAGGAAAGGGAAAGGGTAAAAGCAGAAAACGGGGGCGCAGAGCGGATGGCGATAATGACCAGGATTCTGGGCCAGAACCCGAGCCTCTGCGTTCACCTTCTCCGACTCCAGCCACACAGAAGATGCGGGACCGCCAAAGGGAACTTGACAAGGCGTTCAAGAAGGTAGCAGCCGCCCAGCGACTGGCTTTGTCTGTGCTAGCCGAGCATTCTCAGCGCAAGCTTGCGCGGGATAAGAATGCCCATAAGAAAGTGCCGGAGTTTGACGAGGTCAACCGGCAACTACACGAGAGATTAGAGAGACACAGGGAGATATTGCGCCGAGAATACGAATATAAGGTAGCAAATGCGAACCGGGTCCTTGCTCTCGAGAAGGAGAATCTTGAGATACAATTTCGGGTAAGTTCTTGCCGCTTTGTTCGTGTTCCTAAGGATATCCAGATGCTAACCGCCATATAATACAGAGGAAAGCGCGTGAAATTCAACACGAACATCTTCTTGCAAGTCAGGGGGCGTACATGGCATTCGTCGAGGGCCGTCGTGCTGCAGAGGATGATGAACACACTGAGGTTAGTCATTTCGAACCATATCTGACTTGTGAAGGAGACTGGATTAACTCGTTGTTTTGCAGACGGATGAATCTGAAACCGAGGTTAACCGTGGACGTATTCGTCCGCCAGCCAGAGAGATGAAGAGGGGATACTATTCATCCTTTGTGCGCAACCCTGCTGGTGCTGCTCTGTACGAGCGTGCCCTGCATGGCTGGGAGGATTTCGTTCAGCGAGCGAAGCTGGGAGGGGACATCGAGCCGCAGATGAACGACATGGAAGAAGCGGTACCGTTCAAAGGTCTCTCAGCACATGATGTTCTTAACATGATCATTGAAGCGACGGGGGTGGTTCAAACGCGAGACGACGCTACGGCGGAGAGTAACAAGATATTCGCTCCGGTACCAGAGTCGCGGGCTGAGGCTTTATACGCCCTGGCCGACGCCGCAACCGCTTCCCCCTTGCCTTTACCCAGAGCGGCCATGACCCCACGAGCCCCAGCACACCGAGCTATCCTCCCACAACCTCCACAACATCCTCAGCTTCCTGGGATCCAGGGTCCAACTGATCCGCGAGCCTTTGTTCTACCGCCTCCAAACCCGCAGCGGCAGCAGCCGCGTCGGTTGCTGCCCGCTGGGCAATTACCGGATCCTTTTGCCGTCAGAAACGGCCCTCCCCAACTGCCCCCTCCTCCTGGCTCCAACTTTCAACGTCCTCCCCTGCCTGGCTTCCTATCCGGACCTCCTCCCCCGCCTCTGTACTACACACACCCGCCTCCTCCGGGCCCTACGGGGCCGCCTCCACCAGGCCCTCGACCTCCCTTCTAAATGGCAGCGTCGGAGAAAAGGAGGGAAAGGGAGCAGCAGTGCGTTTTGTTTCCCACGGGGTTAGGTGGTGGTCTCGGCCACTTGTTCCCTGTTTCCTTGCACACTTTCCTTGCATACTTTCCTTCTCCATGGTCGTGTTTCACTTCTGCTCGTTTATGGATTCTCTTGGGGTTAAAGTTCCTGACTCTGGGCCGTTATCCTTGGTTTATGGCTTTTTGGCCAGACGTTGGCATGGATCGGGCTGTCCTCATTGAAAGACATTGTTGCATATATCCATCGACTCATATGAGAGATAGACCATTGTGACCAGCATATTTTATGTTTGATACGTTATTTAATCTCCAACCGGAGAGTGTCATCCATGGCGGGCCCATTGGAATGAGAAAGTGTTGTGTTCTACGAGCAATCTGAGACTTTGGTTGATTTTATTCTCTGTACTCATATGGGGATTCTCTGGATTGAAAGATGTACCATACTTAATAGATAGATCCCTGGAACTATTCTGGTATTGTTCTCGTACTATTCGGCAGGCAACTGAACCGGTACACGGGAACAAGCAAGGGGACTCGGCAAAGAGCGCGTGGGTAGTAGTGCACTGCCAGTTCTGGACCGGGTGTGCGCCAGGGTCACTCCAAAGCTGCACCGTAATGATGAGCCACTTGGAGGGCACAATGACTGACCGGGTTGATGCTGACTGTAGCTACGGAGTATCTATCTATGGGGCGGAAGCAGAATGACTCTTGATGACTCGTTTTTCGGTGACTCCTCCTCCGCCCCGATTGGGTCTAGTCTACACAGAGCGGGGCGATTCGACGGGCCTTTTGATAATCTTTTCTTGGGCTTCAAATACTCTCCTCGTGAGCGGCAATATTGGTTTTCTTCGTTGCGAAACACCTAGAATCTATATTCCAAACTTCAGTTACTCTCGCTCGGCGAAGAAAAGCTGGGGGTTTTATCCTTTTCGTTCTTCTTCCCACGCCGGTTCCTCATCCGAACTCCCCCTCAACTATCGACGTCAGCCGGCTTCGCAAAGCTTTCGCTTGCAGTCTCACACAAACGCTCTTATATTTCCGTCGTTCGCCTGGGTGTCCATACCTACTCTCAATCATTATTGAAGCCCGGTATCTAGAAAGTCACGGAATTTTCGCACGATGGCAGTCCGCGCGCAGTTTGAAAACTCCAACGAGTAAGTAGGCGCGGCCATATCTCTCCGAGGTTGATTTTGTTTCTTTTTTTCGAGTTATGKGAGAGGACTAACTTGCCTTTTCACTCTTGCAGAGTCGGCGTCTTTGCCCGCCTGACAAACTCATATGCAATTGTCGCCATCGGCGCTTCAGAGAACTTCTACAGGTGCGCTACTCGTGCCCCCGAGAGTCACCTTGCGAGCAGGCCCTTCTGACAGATAATTTCAAAATCATTAGTGTATTCGAGGCGGAACTCCAGGATGTCATCCCCATCTGTCATGCTACTATTGCCGGCACCCGGATCGTCGGTCGTCTAACAGCGGGGTATGTCTTTGTCTTTGTTTAGCGCGCCCCCCAAACGCAACGAAACCCAGGGGCGAGCGGCGAGTAGAGCCTCGGAGCTGACAGTCTGGATGATTCAAACAGTAACCGTAAAGGCCTTCTCGTCCCCACAACGACAACAGACCAGGAACTGCAACATCTGCGGAATACGCTGCCAGACGATGTGAAGATCCAACGGATAGAGGAGCGGCTCTCGGCGCTGGGCAATGTCATCTGCTGCAATGACCATGTGGCATTGGTGCATCCGGATCTTGAGCGGGAAACAGAGGAAATGTACGTTTTGAGCGCTCTTCTGAACCTTACCCGTCGGGAAATGGAAAGAGAGAAAACGGCGGGAATAAACTGACACTAACATTGCCCCAAAAACAGAATCGCAGACGTCCTCGGCGTCGAAGTCTTCCGGCAAACCATCGCCGACAACGTGCTGACGGGCTCATACATGGCCCTCTCCAACCAGGGCGGTATCGTCCACCCCAAAACCTCCATCCGGGATCAGGATGAGCTCTCCTCCCTACTCCAGGTGCCCCTCGTGGCGGGCAGTGTCAACCGCGGCAGCCCCGTCGTCGGCGCCGGCATGGTCGTTAACGACTGGCTGGCCGTCACCGGTCTCGACACCACCGCGACCGAGTTGAGTGTGGTCGAATCTGTCTTCCGGTTGGGCGAGATGGGTCCTCGTGGTCTGGGGATGGCCAATGCCAACAAGGAGAGTATCGTGGAGAGTTTCTACTAAACCGGCCAATTGGATTCCTACTTATTCTTTTGTCTCCTCTTTACCTTTTATTTCCGCGTCCTCATGTACCCCCCTCACGATTATGGTTATGGTGTAAATCCCCCTGAAATGGGTCATCTAGATCGGTGGAATGTTTTAAATTCTGATATCTACAGAATATAGATCACCCTTCAGGAAAATGGAGGATGGTTTATCAGTTTTGCATCGATATCCTTCGGCATTACGTTTCATAACCACCGAGGTTGATCGAAGGAACATCTTCCAGCCTCTAGTAGACGGGCAAGGAAAAAAGAACAAAGATAGCAAAAGTAATAATACTAGTGACTTGCATAGAAGCAAGAATGAAATTGAAAAGAAAAATTCAGGCTAGTTGTACAATTCCAGATCACTCCCTTGTTTTCTGTTTCCTACCCCATTGCGCAATATGCAAATGAACATGAATCTCTGAAAGATATGGACAAAACGGGGGTATTGTGAAAAGTGATAAGATTCCAGCTGTGAAAATGACAAACTTGACGGATCTTCCAAATGGCATGATATTGAAGAGGAAAAGAAAAGAAAGAAGACTGAACGCCATGTAACACCACTCGGGCCTAATCCTGGGCTGAGGCAAGAAAAGAGGCCCTGAATGCAAGCCGACGGTATCCGGTTATACTTGGCCTTCGATACCGATTCGATTTGGGGGAAGATTTCCTGAGTCGGCGTCGTACTCCTCTCCTGGCAAAGGGGCAGGGAAAGGTTCCTGTTCCAACGGATGATTGCTCATACCCTGAGATGGGCCCGATTCATCGTTATCACTGTGCTCCGTTGACAAGGGTGGCGGGGGAGGAGGGGTTGGCGCAGTCTCCGGGCCATGCAGCGATGAATCGCCATTCTCAGTCTGGAAGTAATATTCGCCGTTGCCATTTGGCGTGGGTTGGTCTTCATCACCTAGAGGAGGCGGTGGCGGTGGGGGAGGAGGTACGGGTGTTGATGACTTCTGCCTCTTCATCGCTTCTTCAGCAATTCCTTCACCAACATCCACTTCGTCTTCCCTCTTGCGCTTGAGGAAACCTTGCGGATCGCTGTCCATGAAGGTATCGTTCTCTTCAAACTTCTCTGCTTCGCCATCAGAGAGTTTCACGTCGATATCTTCAACGGTGTTGTGGCCATTGGCCATTTCTTCGGCTTTCGAGTCACCTGCCTTTGCCTGCTTCTCGGCCTTTCTCTGCTCGTAAGCACGGTGCTTCGCGACAGCCTTGTCAAAGAATTCCTTGCAGAATGCCTTAACTTTCTTTTGTTGCTTTTCGCTAATCTTCGTTGGATCTTCCACGCGATTGTTTTTGAAATCGGAGTTGACAAGCTTCTTGGCGACCTAATGAAAGGAAAGAAGCGCGGATTAGCGCAAGTACTATGTCTGGCATATTGAATGGCTCGATGGGCTGACTCACATCCTTGGCATAGCGCTTCAGATCCTCTTTCGGAAGCTTGTGTTTAAATTTGTCCACCACATATTTGATATGAGGGAAAAGCTGCATAAGTCAGGCCATCTGTACTCAAGGATGACGGCAGCTGCTCTTGGCGGTGACCTTACCGTGTTCTCATACAGTTTCTTCTGTTTCTCTTCACTGTAATTTCTCCACTTCTCCTGCCCTTCACTGAGACTCGCCGTTTCTCTAGAAGCTTGCGGCGTGCCAGGTGTGATGGTCTTCTCCTTCGGCGTGTTCTCCTTAGCATTCAAGATACCATCGATGATACCTTGTAGGGCTTTATTCTTCGCCTGGTGGCCTGGGACGTCAGCCTCAGGCGCGGCATGAATCGGCCGAGTCCAGGTGACATCCCCACGGGCGCAGTAATAATATGTCCTGCCGTGTGATTCGGCTGCGAACCATCCCGGAGGCAGAGGATTGAATTGGCGGCGGAATTGACGGGCACCGTGATGCTGGGAATTCCTGGGGCCATTGCTCTTCCGACCTGGATTCGCTGGCCCTCGAGGAGCATCCAACGACCGGGATCTCGATCGCGAACGAGATCGAGATCGTTTCTGCTCGTCATTACTGTGTTCTCTCCGCCCAAACTGGCTGACTGAAGCGACTATATTCGGATCTCGCTTCATGCGAGGGATACGGTATCCAACCTCCAGAGTCGCCCAGTGCTGCAAAAGTGCTGCAGCCTTCTGCTCGACTCGCTCATCTCCACAACTTGTCAGCGGCTGGACGGTGGATTCGATCTTTGAATCAATAATCTTGTTCCGTGTAAGACGTGGAAACTTGTCCAGGATATCGAGGATCTGCAACACAACATTGAAGTCCTCCTTCCATAAAGTGAGTTGGGAATTCAGGATCTGGTAGCCATGCATCTTCACCACACGATGGCGGACTCGTTCATCGTCGCAGCGCTCGATCCGCCTCAGCAACTTGACAGCAATCCATTTTTCTTTGCATTGCATGAGGGCCGCCATGACCTTGGTGACGCCGTTCTCATCTAGAGACTTAGGCTGTACGCTGTCAACATACTCTTCATCATCCTCGCCCATCTTCTTCTTTCGTGGCCGCTTCGCAACAGCAGTGTCCCAGCTATCAGCATCTTCGATACCCAAAGCTTCAATGGTGGCATTCGATAGTTTGGTAGCCCGATCGGTCTGAGTCTTTCCTCCAATAAAGCCAGTGCAATTCGGTTCGCCACAGTAGCATGGTTGAGGATCCGCGCCATAACGATCGACGTTATAATTGAAAACGAGTTCTTCGCCGGCTTGAATAGCCCTT